CCTCTATATCAGCTACTGGGTGACCATGGATTGGAAAGAAATGCTGGTTATTTCCTCCAGTGTAATTAGAAGATTAGAAGTAGAGAAGCAGTAAAGATTTGCATTTTTATTAGGGTTTAGATTTAAGGTTCTTTGTAAATTTTCCTGCCTTAGGCTTTTCCTCTGAAACTGAAATGTGAAAATAACGCAGTAAGCTGAGCTGTTCTCTCACCCCTTGTTCAGTGAGCATACAGGTATTTTATGTATCTTTTCATCTTTAGTGATACCACACTAGTCCTTCGGAATTAAGAATTGTGTGATAAACATTAAGTAATAGAAATTACTTCATTTCTCAACGGCTTTTAAAATCTTTTTGCATACATGAAAGGAAACTGGTCTCAGCATTACTGATTATTGAAAAATGTGTTTTCTGTGATAACGTGATAGAGGAAAGTTATCTGTGCTCTGAAAGTACTCTGAAACTTTCTTAATATTCTGGCCCCTGGGGCAGAGTCTTCAGCAAATTGATAAAGCTGAAATTTTTCAGGCAAATTAATTTGCCTGAAACGTGTCATAGGTTCATTGGTGAAAATCAGTGCGCCATCTGCTTTCTCTCTGTATATTCTGTTTTTAATACCTCCTAGAAAAGTATTGAGCAGAATGGGAGCGGCCCTTGTAAATGAGATCTCATTTCCTTCTGCAAAAATCATTTCATGGCATGTATTTAACAGCTCTTTTTTTGTTTGTGTTGCAGAATTGGAATATGGCAACTCATATGAAATAGAATATATGGAGAAAATAGGCTCCTCTGTGCCTGTAAGTTCTCACTTCTATTTCCATTCATTTGCATTCCCTTGTCATAATATACTATCCTGATAATGCCATCAGCCTCACTACCCCTTAAATTAATTATAATGTGCCTGCAGCAGATTCGCAAAACCAGTTCCTTTCAATTGGCACAACTGGGGTAAATTGTATGTGCTTTGTTGTCCTATATCCTGTAGAGCTTGTTCCATTTTATTATTATATTTTTAAGCTAGCATCACAGTAGTTCTTTCTGGAGATGAAAAGCAAATCAGTATTTCCAGCAGTGTAGAGTACAGAGCTGTCTACCAGCTATTGAACTATTTTAAGAAACTGGGAGTAAAACTTCTAAGAAGGTGGAGGGAATGGGGAGAGAATACAGACTGAATGTGAAATATGGAATGCGGTACGATACGTTACCAGTTGTTTTGCGTTACTTCTATTGAAGTCATGGATTTGATAGTTTGACTAGATCCAATGGGGGTATATCCACAGGGGAAGTTAGAAAAATCAAGCATGTATGTCAGGTGCTTAAACTGATGAGAAGTTTCAATGAATATTTTAGTAACACTGTCAGTCAAGGGATGCCTCCTGCCTGACAGGACCAGAAATCTGGTTAACCCCAAAGTGGGAGAAGAAGAGCCATGCGAGCTCTTTAGGTTTTGTTCTTTAATGGTTTCTTCCTCAAAGGGATCATCTCAGTATCAGTTAGCATAGGCTGTATTACAGTCCTGTATTATTAGTTGTCTGTCAAGTCATTTGGTCACTTAAGGCTTCAGTGACCTGAATTAGCTTTAACGGAGAACGGTTGAGTTGCTTAACGAGCTTTACTTTTCCTGTTGCCAGCAGGATGATAGCACCCCGAAGAAACAATCTTTATACCTAATGTTTGATGCACAGCAGGAGAGCCCAGTCAAATCACCTCCCATCAGGCTGTCTGATTCCACAACACCATGCTCAGGGTACGTCACCACGAGGAAATGCAGCAATGGAAAAGGATGCCAGGGAAATGGGTTACCACCATAGCACGTACACAGGCAATTCTTCCCCTCTCTGCCTCTCTGTTGCCGAGCTGTTTGTTTAAAAATAGGTTCCCATCTGTGTACACATTTGATAGAGAATAGAGGGCAAAGATACAGGAGTTTTATAATGGGAAGGAATAAGAACATGTATTTCTCCTTCATATTCTTACTAAATAGAGTCACAGTGGCAACTGTTTCACTAGACAATGGCTTCCTACTTAGAGTTTTTTTCTCAGATACCGATGTCATTTTCATGTCAATCTAGTAATCTCGTAATTGCAATTTTTCACTTGGCCTTTCCTAGATATATTTTCTAAACAAGGAGTCTGGTTCATAAGAAAAGGATGTGGGGGTTGTATTTACTTCCAAAAATTTTGTTTGTTAAGGACATCTGTTGTTGTTAGTAAAAGTTGTTTGTTGGGAGAGATGTAGGTCACAATGAGAAAGGGGTAAAAAGGCAAGTGAGAAATATTTAAGGAAGGTACATAACATTTCTGACGGAACTGGCTTTATTTAGAGACTCCAGTGCATTGCTTTGAAAGGATATTGCAAAGTGTCATGAGAGATAATGATATAAAGTTGAGTTGAAACAATACGTGCGTGTGTTTAGATATATACTCACATGAAAGTAATGAAGAGGACAAGCTTAGTTGTTACCAGAAGCAGAATTGTAAGGGCCTTGTGCTCCACCCTGAAAGCATGTACACAACCTTTTTCCAGGTCAAGTTTTGAAGACCCTGAAGCCCAGCAATCCTCTGGAATGAAAATACAACATCCAGCGTCCCGAGTCCTAGCTGCCAGCCAAGAGGCACACTTACAGTCACCTGACAAGTCAAAGCAGAAAGACCTAGAGCCCATGACCCTAGGAACAACTCCAGAGGCTATTGAAATAGTAAGTGATTTATGACAAAGAGTTTAGGAATCATTTGCCAGCAGAAATTTCTCATGTCATATAAAGGTGGATCTCGAAAGTAGAGTGAAGCTCAACCTAATACTTAAAGATCTTGGTAGCAGCATGTGGTAGGACCCAAATGAGGGAGGAAGATTGATGGAACTGATGGAATTCAGAAGAATTTTCTGAATTCTTACAGTAGCTTAACAAGTTCTAGTGATAACATATTCCAAGTAGATACTTTGAAGTGGTTTTTTTTCCTCACACAGGCCTTTTTACACTGTGCTTTAACCCAATATTTGAAGAAGTATTTTATATATAAAATAAGGGGTTTGATACAAACATAGAGACATGATTTGTTCTGTTGCATGTACTGTGAAATTTCAAAATTTTGTTGGTAAAGAACAGGTGCCCTTTCACATTTTCATATTTAGTGTATTGTTGTCATCTGATACTGATAATGTAAAATTCACTTTTTGATCACTGGAACTCATTCCAGCTTCCAGTTAAATCACTTCTCTCAGTGCCTTCTCCGGGTTGGATTTGAATTAGTGGTGAGCCCTTCCTTGCTTCCAACCTGCGCTGCATACAGACTTTAGAGCATTGGTTCTCAAATTCATGAAGGTTCCCTCAAGGCCTCCACTTTTCCAGGCAAACTTGTTTCACAAATGCCTACAGCACTAGGCATGCTAAGCTATATGACAACATATTTACCAAGGAGTCAAAACAAGCCGCAGCTCACTTTAATACTATGCTTAATTTATATTAACAATGCTGTTGATACCATCTCACAAAGCCTTTTTTATGAGCTTGTATACTTTTCTCGCTGCAGGGAGTCTTGGGTACTGAAATCCCAGTGCTCTTGTCTTTGTTAGTCTAATTCTATCCGCCCTCATATTGTGTATTTATCCTGATCATGCTATAATTGTGAATATAACTTAATTTATCCCCAGTAAGCAGCAAAAGACTTTTGTAAAGACTGCAGAAAGAGTCTTTCATAGGTTTCCCTCAGTTTTGGTGGTCTTCAAAGCTTTTGGACTGCCTTAGAGATGCCTGAAATGAACATAAGCTATTGTATGAAGAAAACCTATGGTAACTGGTTGAAAACTATTGTGGAAGTATCAAGAGTGGGCTGTGGTCCGTGGTTTGAGAGCCATTGCTTTAGAGGTCCTAATATTACTTACTTCATGTTAGTCTTGGAAAAATCACTCTGCTTTTAAATTAGGAAGAATTGTTCTTTATGTTTGTCTGTTACACCTATGAACCATGTATTCAAAAGGAATCTTCAGTAGGGTATGAAATGAGTAGGAACCAATGATTTGTAGACACATATGTTGCTTTCGGGCTGAACTACTTTGGCAAAATCTCTGTTGCTTATTCTATATCCTCCTTACCCTTCAGACATCTCCTGAAGACTCCTTTGTCTCTGCTGATGCTCTTCTCAATAGGATATCTAAGAAAACCTCAATATGTGATCAGCCTGAATATCTAGATCCTGACTTAGCAGAAAAGAACCCCCCAGTATTTGCTCAGAAACTTCAGGTTTGTAGCAGAAATATAAATGTCACTTTTCTTTAAGTTTCCCTATACACAGGTAGAGGAATGCTTTGCTTTGTGAAAGGGGTGGGAGGAGGTTTGGAGGGGAGGTGGGAAAGAAGCAAAATAATGATTTGATTCTTTCCAAAGTAACTTTGGCCTTTCAGGAGCTTAAGGAACAGAGATGTTTTCATTTAATCCATATAATACATAAATTTCATCAACACTTTCAGCTCTCCTATACCACTGATGTATATATTTTGCAGAAGTCTTTATAAAGCAAATCTTCTAAGCTTGAACACAGGATTTGATGTGTGGAGATTTGTCTTGACACCTGGCCTTAGTAGGTCTGTATGCATAGATTCATTTTTGGAGATTTAGGCCCTAATTCTGCTGAAATGAAAATTAGACTTTTTTTTTTTCCTAGTAATCTAGCTAATGCAGAATTTGGCATGACTTCTTCTAGGAAAGGCAAATTGATCTGCAGACCAGTTCTGTATGTCAGGACACATTTTCTAGAATATTTACAGTGAAATTTTAAAACAGCAAAGGTTGAATTGAGAGCAGCAGCTGGCATAAATTCACAGAAAATGAAAACAAGTCTGTGAAAAACAGCTTTAGCTTCGGAAAACATCTATTTTCCCAAAGCATTGTTCATACTTCCCCCTAATAAAAAAATTTTTGTCTATACAGCTGCCTCAAGTCTAACCAAAACCTGGAGTTTTGTATCAATGTTCTAGTCATGAAAGGAATATGGGATGTGTTTGTCACCCACAAATTGTCAGAATTATACATGAAAATATAACATTCCATTTTTGAATGTGTTAAACATTTTTGCTATGTTCTTAATACATTTTTTCCTGTGGATTGCTCACAACCAAACACTTGACAGGAGGAGTTAGAGTTTGCTGCAATGAGGATAGAAGCACTGAAGTTAGCCAGGCAGATTACCCTGTCTTCTTTCTGCTCCGAGGTATCTGTTTTGTGCCTGCCATGTGTGTGTGAGTGTGCACAGACTAAGAAACCGAGTGCTGCTTTTTCTTTAACAAGGTAACTAAGGCTCTCAGAGTGCAGTGCACAGCCGTGCACGCCTCAAGTGTGACGCCAAAGAGCATGCTGGAAGCAGTACTGCGCACAGAAATGCTGTCACCTGCTCCACTCCCAGAGTACCGCTACGTCCAAATTAACAAAAGGCAAATCTGAAGGCAAGAAGCAGGCACGTGCCATCTGCAGGAGACAGATTCTGCAGTCCAGGTGGCCATTTGTCATTTGCCTACAGCAAATTTTTTGATGGCAAAACAATACCAAACCTACTTCTTATAAAGGTGCTATAGATTTTGACTGTAGGGACAGTTTGCCTTTTGTTGGTAATTTCAGCTTGAAATTAGACACCTTGACCCTCAGAGTTTAGAAGGGAAAAATTCAATGAACCCTGCCTTCAGGCATCTTATGAAAGGGATTACAGCAGGTTTGGAGGGGCTATAGAGCTCCCAAGGGAAGAAGGCCTCCCAGCACCATGTGTGTGTTTATTCATGAAGATCTAAACACATTTTTTTTCGCTACTTCCAGGTTGCACTGGCTAGTTCTGCCTCAGAGTGGTGCTTTACACTGTTCTAGGGATGCATGTGGTCCTCACTGTGTTTGGAAAGGGATGGAAAAGCTTGCTCTGATGCGCTGCGTTTGGTGGTTAGCCAGTTGCACAGCCAGTTTATGAAGTCCTTCGTGGTACTTTTAACAAAAAAGCCAAGCCAGAAATGTTAGTGGCTTTCTTGGGAGGTGGCATCAGCTGAATGGGATGCTGACAGGATGGCAGTGTCCTGCTGCAGTGAGACATTTTATTCCAAATGAGGATGTGCTTCTGACATGTCCTTCTCCTTTTTCTTATACTGTCTGTTACTAAGTTGGTGGGAAGTCTTTTGCCTGATCCTATATCATCTTGAGCTCATTGCATCATAACATTTGGACAGGTTATAGGGTAGAATTTCTTGGTGCTTGAAAGATGAGTCATAAAGTAGCTAGTTCAAAAAGGTAAACTTTTTTTTAGATTAACTGTACTTTTATGAAAAAATAATATTTGATTTCTTTCACTTATCTTAGCCCACAAGCCAGCTGTTTCCATGGTGCGCATATACTTACCAAAGTAAATTAATTCCTTGCAGATTTATGGGTGTTTTAAAGTATGTGGCTCTTATCTTAAATAGCCCACGAGCCAGCTGTTTCCATGGTGTGCATATACTTACCAAAGTAAATTAATTCCTTGCAGATTTATGGGTGTTTTAAAGTATGTGGCTGCAATCTTTTATTTAAGCAAGAAAAACGTGCTGTTGTCTTCATTAGAAACCAAGCTTAACCTTCTAATTAGGAACAGAAAGAATGAAGGAGGAAAAAATAAATGGAATTTTCCTGTGTGAGTACTAGCCTGTGTGTGACCGTGTCCCCTCGCTCCCTTGCCCTGCGTGGTGGGTGTCAGAGGAGGGTGAGGTGGGATCCTCTCTAGATCCTCTCTACATCCTCATTCTCCCTCTACCTCTCTGTCCTCCAGCACTTTGCTGTAACGTGCAGCAGTCAGGCTCTCCAGCACCAGGAAACACTCGAGATGATGAAACACGTAATAATACCTAGATGATCTTCACAGGTTATACAAAAAAATGCTGTTAGACATCTGCATTTTTGCTACCGGCCAGCAATTCAGAAACTCACAAATTCTACTGGTTTAGACTGAGGAGAATTGGTTCGTATGTTTGTGAATTCTTGTTGTTACCCAGGGAGGATTCTGAGCTGCAAAAATGTTATAATTTGTATTTGATTATCTGGAGTTGTATTTTAAAGATGCTTTTTTAACATCATTACAGCATTTTCTTCTAGCTAGAACAAGTTGAACTTGAACTATGAACTCCTTAGAACTTAGAAACTGAGAATGGATCTCGTGATTTTTTAGAAAATGTCATTAATCTGGATAACAAACATAGCAAAAATGATACGCAGAGATGAGGAGAGAAAAATAAGCAAAACTCCACCCTCTGAGAGAGAATCAGTAGCATTTTGACATTCACAACTCCATGCTGGTCCAGTCACAGGCATGCTTTTAGCTGAATGCTGTGGGTGTCACGTTAGGCTGGGAAGGACTTTTGTCCTTGCTTAACATCACTATTTCAGTGGGAGGTTGCTAATGTTAAATTAGCCTGTGATGACAGCCCTTGTGACCTACAGTGACTGATGGCCTGGATTAAGTATAATAGGATCCACCAGACGACTGCAGGGACTTAAATTCGGATACTAACTGGCAGAATTCCCTTCTGGTTGGCTGGCCTCAGTTCTTTTCTTAATGTTGTATAATTACATTTAACATTTGCTAAACCATTACAGCATGGGTAACAAGAATATAGGATGCTAAATAAAGACGCGAGCACTTGTTATGGCAAATTAGGTCACCTAAAATGAAGATTAAATAAAAGCATTTTCAGGACTAGGACTGAGAATAAGGACGTGCAGTTTGTTGTTCTCGGACAGAGGGAAGTTATTTGGCCACTCCCAAACTTCTTGTCACAGACTTGAACAACAACAGGACTAGTCATCTACTTTTACATTGCCAAAGTTTTCTAGCTTCCAGCGTTGAGATGAATTAACCCTTCTCTACTGAACAGTCTTCATTGGGACGTCCTGTGACTTTTTTTTATAGTGCAGCTTGAACAGAAAGGCGATAGAGTTTGTGTCCACCACCCTACAGATGCCGAGGCGATGTAGAGTTGGGCATGGAAGTAAGATCCAAGGAAAGCAGAGAAACTGAAAGGAAAGGGATCGGCAGAAATAGGATTTGGGGGGCTCTCATGGTAGTGAAGGAGGAATATTTCCTTCAAACAGGGACACCATTTTTCCTAGTAAAATTTTACAAGCAGAGAACTTATGCTTGGATTTTACTTGCTTTTCAGTATATTTGCAAGTACAAATAGGTCTTGTTCTGCCTCCATTGACCTGTCTGCACACATATCAATTAGTTAGAGGAGTAGATCATTTGACACGCACCCAAACAGTATTTGAGTGCTTGGAAAGGGCAAGCTAATTTTCAGCAGGGCTAAATACATATTCCTCTAAGCAGTATGATAAAACCAGTTTTCATTTTCATTCCAATACCTTTCTCTATTTTCCTTCACTTTGACTTTTATCTTTGAAGCGAGGTAAGTGCAGCTGGTTAATCGATGTGCATTTATTCCCTTTCTGGTCAGATATCTGGTTTCTGTGAAAGATGCTGGGAAGAGAAGAGGAAGTATGTTGGGCTCTCAAATATTTACACTAAGATTGCAGTGACCTACATTTAGTAGTAATTCCTCTGCAGACTCTAATGTTTCTGTGCGAGGTTCAGTGACTTATAAATCCCTATGCTTATTATTACTCAAATTAACTGCTTACCTTCTCAGCAGTTAGGTGTTGAACTTAAAGCAGTGACAGAGTTATTTTGGGTAATACCGTCATCCCGTTGGTCAGGTTATATTATTTTCTCAGGACAGGAATATTTGGAGGCCATAAATAACAGTTACTGAATTGTGCATCAGTTTGGAGCTGTGTAAAATTGGCTTTTGAAATAAAATCATGAAGACTTTTACTGGTTGCTCCTGCCAAAAGAGAAAACCCAACAGCCCAGTTGTGACTCGTGTGAAGTGTTTTCAGAATTAGGACAAGACTGGTTGGACCACTACCAGAAGCATTTCTGCTCAACAATTAAATTCCAACAGTTTTTGCAGTTGTTTTTGGCAATTTTAAGTTGTTTTGCATATCATTATCACTATTCTTTTCTACAATTTACTCAAATGCAAGAGAGAACCAGAAAAAACATATATGAGGTGTTGAGCACTGCATTAAAAGATGCATAAGTATGTAATAAATGCTTTAAATGTTCTTTTTTTCCTTAAAAATTTTCCTCATTCTGGCAGTTCCTTTGACACATGTTTTTCTATGACCTTAAGGAAATTTGTGTTTCTTTTGCCACAATTAATATTTTCCAGCAATCTCTTCATGAGATCCAGCAAAAGACGCTGCAGGAAGCTTTTGAAATGTGATACATCCAGTGCAACAGATTGCTCTCCAGGATGGCCTTTCTTTTGAGGACGGCTTTGATGATCTAATAGCTCTTTTGTGTATCTCGTTTTTTCTTGCCTTGTGTTTGAGGAGGAACTAAAGTACATTTTTTTGAGGTTAGGATACTGAGTTGAGCCAGCAGTAGGCTTATTTATTGGCTGTTTTACCTTTTCTCAGATCTGTGGACAGCACCATGTGGTTTTGTATTTATGCATTTACATCGATGTCTGAGCTTGTGTCCCAGATGTATTTTTTTCCTGTTGTATACTGGGAGATACTTTCAAAAATACAGGCTATGTAATTTTGATAGATGTTGTGATGCTTTTCATTCAGGTAGGAAAATCCACTGGATTTGGGGTCGCACCTCCTAATTATGTGGGAATTGATCATTATTTTGTGTGTTCATGGTTAAATGTAGCAAAAAAAGAGAAGGGATTGCCTGCTCCATAATGCTAGAATAGCTTAAAAATGAACAAAAAATACAAAGCAAATTAGTGAGAGTCTCTCATATAAATAAAGATACAATATGGTGTTTTGTAAGTACCGTTTAGCTTATCCTTGGTCTAAATTTTCTTGTCTAGTCTTTAATGTTGCTGGTGTGGTTTCTTCATGTTGTGTCCAGATGTGATATCCAGAACATCTAGTCCTGTGATTAACTCGAGTGAGCGTTGTATGTAATTTTTAGTATAGTTTCTTCAATAAGGTGTGATGGAAGAGCTCAGAAGGGTTTGCATCAAAATTGACAGTGGGTTTGGATCCTTTCTATTATTCTAGGCTATGCGAGAAGAACTGTGAGCAAGTGAATGATTTATGGAATAGCATCTGACAAAATTTCCTTTAACTGTGTTGAAACAAGAGCATGTGGTGTTGAAATTAATGGGGTCTGTTTGTGTGCACGTTAGGGAGAGGAGGACTGAGCCTTAATTCAGACATTATCTACTCGCTTTCACATTCCTCTGCTTCAAGCAGTAGAATGTGACTCTGCTATTTTATTCAAAAAAAACCACACAAAAGCAACTAGAAAACCCACAACCTTCTTTTCCAGTAAAATATTTTTCTCACTTTTATGTAAAAAAATCATTAAAAAAATCTTGATTACTACTCTTAATTATTGCAGATAAAGCCTTAAGACTAAGGTACTGCACTAGTGAACTTGAAGAAACAGATGATATTGCTTTATGCACAGAGGTAACGAGTAAGCTGGAAAAAGATGTTATCCCCTTTTCAACAGCAAGGAAGTGCCATACCGGAAAAGCTGTACGTGAAAATCCATTTCTATCAGTGGCTGAAAAAGGCATTGATCAACCTGACCTCCCTCCCCACGCGCGCAAACCCTGGGCCATGCTCCAGCCCACTCTGTGGCTGCACGTAGCATCATCATAGAGACAATTTGAATTGTCATGAGAGCCCACTGAAAAATTCTGCTACTGAATCTGCAGGTTCAATAAAAAAAATTAAATCATTCTGTATTTTAAAATGCAATTTTGACACTGGCTTAGCAAGTGACATGTGTACACAGACACAGTGAGAGGGGGATTTCTGGGCATCTGTGTCCTCCCTGCTGAAGTCAGTGTGTTGGCATGTTCTGTACCATATGAAGTATCTTCTTAGGTCACAGAAATTCAAGGAATTTCAGCCATGCTCAGATATAAGATCTTTCATAGGAAACTTCTTTTGGTGGAAGGAGTTCATAGAAAGAGGAAGGAAAATAATAAATAGAAGAGCATGTCCCTGGCCAGGGCTCGGCCCATCCACCCCCACGGTGCACCTGTAGTGGGGCTCCCCGGGGACTGCTCTGGGCAACGCGGGGACCAGAGCAGCTCCTCAGGCTGTGAAGTGGAGGTGCTCTGGCTCTGTCCTGCAGAGTTACCCCGAGGACCATGTAGCCTGCGCCGGTGCAATGGAGTCGTGGGGGTCCCAGCACTGCGTGGGCGGAGGGGCTCCCCTTTCTCTGCTCTGGAGCCTGGAAACATAACAGAGCTCGTAGAGATGCCTCCTACCATTGACTTGCTAGGGATATGGTCACATCCACCCCCAAAACTACTTTGCGACCCACCAGCAGCTGAGAGAGAAAGAACATTTTGTTTCCCAGACCACCAGAGGCAATACCGAGCCCGGCGGTCAGCATGTGCGTGTTAGCTGTTAGCGACGGCGAGATGCAAAGCGTAGGTAGGGGACACAGGGACGTACGGCTGTGGTGGTACGTCTGCTGCAGAGGGGTCTGCTCTCAGGGAGTTGCTGCGGATGGTGTCTGAAAATGTGGGTTTGGGGTTTTTTTTAGTATCTTCCTAACTGTCTTTTATAATCTCCTGGGTTTCAATGCGCTGTAACTTGGATTGTTTCTATCTAGAGTTGTTTGCAAGACACCTCGTGCATCTCAGTGTCACGTACCTAGTTTTTGTTCTCTTCCTCATTTCACATGCCGCTCTCCTCCTGCGTTAATCTGGGCCGCTGACATGCACAAAATTGGCAGCTGCAAATAAAACCTCATTTAACTTACTAATCGCATGTTAAATACCAGTGGGGCAGCAGCACCACTTGTATAATCACACTTTTTATGTAATACCATTTATGATACGGTATATTGGCAGGTGAGACCTAAGAAAGTGAGCTGTCCTCTTGGTTCTGGTTTCTTGATCTATTTTTATGGAAGCATAATTGCCCTTAACAAGCTCTTTGCCTCCAATTCTAGTTTCCTCTACTGACATGCATTTCTTGTGGATGTTTTGATGACATTCCTGCATCAGAAAGTAGTGAATTTTCTAATATAGGACTTTAAAATAGTGATGACAAAGTGCTGTCTGTGTTTTCTCCCTATAAGGGTAATATGGCTCTCTTGGTGCTTACCATGGATCTTAAATGTATATCTTATGATCGCTAAATTCAAAGAAGTTCCTTGTCAGTGTTATTGCTGTTATAATTTAGTAGTGCACAGGATTCTAGTCCTAGCTCAGGACCCTGGTGCCTAACACTACACCCAGAAAACATATGAGCTAAACATGTATTTAATGGTTCATTTCTTTGTATTTAAAAAAACAAACACACAGAGAGAACCTGCTATCCCAGCAGATGTTTCCATCTCTAAAAGTGCACTGTATTCCCGGATCGGCACCTCGGATGCAGAAAGCACCACGGGTCTTCTCTACCCCCAGCAAGACTTAGACTCTGCACTACGACTCGCCAGAGCGGAGGTAATTTTCTTCAGAATTTGGAAAAGGAAATATGTGGCCCTTGTGGTTTCCTTCTTTCCTGTTTTCTCCCAAATGATTCATGTTACGAACACTTGTTCTATTCTTGAAACCATCCTCAGCCATGCTAAAGCCACGCTAGAGGCTACCAAAGCAACAGGTGCTATACTGTAAGTTTTACTTTTTTTTGACATAAGTGAAAAGTAGACATTATAAGAAGAAAAATCTATTGTTTTTAACCTCTGTGCATCTGGACATTACTGTATAATTATATACAAATTGTAAGATGCCAGAAATAGGAATAAAATTATGTATTTTACAAAGCTACATATAAGATTAGTCTGACTAATAATAACAATTTTAAAAAGGGCACAATCTAATGTTAGAGTATTCCAAACTTTATGATAGATTGCATGAACGAAAGGAGCACAAAGGAACACAGTCCTTTGGGGATAATATTTCATGGACAGTCAGCCCTAAATATGCAAGCAGAAGCAGTAGAACCCCCTTCGAGGACAAACCAGGGGACCGTGTTCCAAACCCAGGCACAGAAATATTTCAGGTCTGGCACCAGGTGAGATCAGACATGGTGTAGTGTAATATCGCTGTCATATCAGGAATGAAATATGAAACAAGAACATTGCAGCTACTTTCCTAAGTTAGCTTTTTGAAACTTGAGTATGATTTCACATCCGAACTTTTTTAATTGCACCTTGCAGTCTGAAAAAGAAAAAAAAATCAGTGGGGATACTTGTACTCGAACCCATTATGCACTCGAAAACTATACCTCTGTTAATTAGGAGTTGTTATTGAATCAAATATTGTACAGTTATTTAATTTCTTCTTTAATGGATCACTTGGTTTTACTGGGTTTTTTTTTTTCCTTTGCTTGTTTTGTTTCAGATTGTGGCCAAGGAAAGAGAAGTATCTGAGTGGAAAGAGAAATATGAAGAAAGCAGAAGGGAAGTGATGGAAATGAGGTGGGTTATCAACTTGTCCCTAATCACGCTGACAGAGTCTCATAGAGTACCATGATTGCACAACTGTTTTGGTTAGCTGAATTTGTTTTGTTAGTCTTAACTGCAGGCTTTGGATTGATCCTGAACTGATATTTTGGTTTTGCTCTGCATGGTGGGTACCCCTGTTCAGGGTGATCATTGAAAACTTCTGTGTTGCTAATCTCATTTACATCCTCAAAATACTGAGATAAGAGAGGTCTTAATCTAGGTTAACGTAAGGGAAGAATTTCCTCCAGTTTGTGCTGTGAATCCTCACGTGGATTGCATAGTGATGTTTCTGTTGCCTGACTGGATGAGTCTGCCTGCAGAGCTCTGCACAGGCTAATTTAAAATTCAGTCTCCACAAATAGTTTTGGTCACAGAAGAAAGAATGTAAAGGTTTGCAGATAGGTATGAGTAGTACAGGCTCCGTCCAGGACGTTATTGTAAAAAGTTTCTTTAATAATAGAAAACAAAAACCCAGTTGCCAGTAGAAAAACATTTCTTGCAAAAGAACTACTCTGGCCTCTGAGTGTTGACTTTCAAGGAGATTCTACACGCTTTTCTTTGAACTGAGCTGGTTTTTTAGTCACTGCACACACTAAGCTTTATTTTAGTTACGCTTTAGTTATCTTGGATTTTACTGCTCCGTTTGAGAGCTGACAGAAGGATTCTGAGCTTTTCAGTTTATTCTAGTCCTGTCTGTTCTATTCTATTTCTCCTTGCAAACCTCCCTCTATTACATTCAGTATCTGTATACTGGAACATAACTGGTTTGACCTTCCTTCCCAGCCCAGTCCTACCACTTGCAAGGGTGACAACAAAATCACTGTAGCGGATGAGGTGAACGGTGTTGCTCAAAGACTCGTTATTGCTTCCCATTTAGTCAGTTGAAAGTTTCTTTTTTGCTGTGATAATACCATAAGAACGACATACCAATGAGCTTGACGTGCTCATCGATCTGCATCTGAGAAAGTCATCAATTGCAAAAGACAATATATAAAAACATTTTATGGAGTCTTTAAAGCCTATGATTTTCTGCCTTCAAACAAACAGAAAAACCATCCCCACCCTTGACTCATAAATAAAAGCAAACTGTCAGATTATTTTAGCATCCTTCTTTTAAGTAATAATTGCTTCTGAGACTGAATTTTCTTAAAAATCGCTTCTGTTCTAGCACCAACTTCTTCCCAAAATTAAATGTCTTGGTGGTTTAAAGCTAAAGCCAATGAGCTGTATCAAGTGATGACCTGCATGTGCAATTCCTGCCTATAGCCAGGAAAACTGTACTCAGGGAGTAAGGGTGAAAGGGAACTGCGGTGCAGAACTCGGCAAACGCTACTACGGATGCCAGGAATCGCACATGGCAGATTTGAATAGCGGCAGTGCAGGGCTTTGAGCCAAAGCATCTTAAGAGAAGCATCTGCAAAAGGCAAGGGCAGCCGCTTTATTTCTTCCAGAAAACCATCTCCCAGTGCCCAGCTGAGTTCTCTCACCTCTCGCGCGCTCTGCTTGGGAAAGGAAACAAAACCCTGGCATAGCCCTCAAATGCATAACGAGGCAAAATGGAAAGAAGCTGCTGCAAGCAGGCAAACCGAGGAAGCAAAACAAGGAGTGAACAAAATTAGGAGTCATGTAAGGAATGTCTCAGTGTTCAGCACACGCTCAAGTGTGGTACTTGGTCTGTGCTCTAGAAATTGCCTGGGTGCACACAGGCACTGGCAGAGGATTTTCATTCCTTAATGAAAGGGGAGCAGGGGGTAACACAGAGCAGCTGGCACAGAATAGATCTGTACCTTCATCTTCCTCGCAGTAATTTGCTTGTGTGTCTACACCCTCAACAAAATTTGAAAAGAAACCCATGACATTATCTGAGCCATATTTCCCACAGGCACATCCCTAGAACATGGGTGAAAAAAAAACCCTGACTAATAATGTCCCAGAATGATAAAATATGCACGCGTGCACAAAGAAAGATTTCTCTTGGAAGATTAAATGTTGAAACAGTCCATGTGTGGTAAATGAGGGATGCAGCAGTTAGATATGACATAATGATAAGCAAGGAGTGAAGGGATTATCCAGAGTTACAAGCACAAAAGCATCACTTTCCACAGCAGGAGAAGCAATGCTCCGTTACCCAAGTCCTCCATACTCTACCTGGAATATCCTGAGGTCAGCTAAGTTTCCAGAAAAATGTCATACTGGAGGAAATTCCGCTCCAGAGAACAGTAGCCAAGATAAGAAGTTGTAATAATGTAATAACTATGGAAGAGCTAAACCAGGGTGGGCTATACCATAACCCAAGGGTACAACCAGACGCAGGCAAGAACTATTTAAACATGGTTATTGGGAGGTCTAATTGATTATGCCTCAGTAAGGGAAGTCAAGCAGATGACCTCTGAGATCCTTTGTAGCCCTGGATTTTGGTGGGTTTATGAGTTACGAAATTGCAGGAAGTCAATAAATAGACTGAATGTCTAAAATACCGAAAGTTCAGCCTATGCAGCATGTCAAGCTAGGGTTAAGGTGTGCCATAGGAGAGAGGAACGATCTGGCCAGCACCCTCCGGTTCCCCAGCCACAATGACTGTTATTTAGGCTGCTTGACTGAAAGGCCTTTGACGTGAATCTGGATCAAGATTTCACTTGACGACCGTGCTTTCCAAATAGAATATTGTTAAAATCAATGTGCCAGTGCAGTGTCCACCTCTATGGAACAGCTGCCACACAATTCATAAGGCTGGGTAATGCAGAGAATGCGCTACCTACTTGAACTAGTCTCAGCTGCTAAAAATAAGAAATAGATAGTGTCATTTCACCTTGCTGCCAACTTGTGTGGTGCAGCCTAGGCTGGGAAATGCTGCCATCCTCTCACAGTGTTTGGGGACATGTTCGTTGCCCTGAGTCCTTGGCTTCATTTTCTAGGATGATAAAACTTCCTAAAGGTGTCTGGTGTTACACGGCTATGACATGGCTTTAAAATCCTTATTGCTTACAGCAGACTTTTGAGGTAATCTTCTTTGGACATGAAACCGATCCCTTCCTTTTTGGGGAAAATCCTTGGGGCTATCTTTGCTCTCAAAAGTGTCACAGGGCAAGTGACACGCTACTGACCTTCGTGGCCAGTGGCCTTCTCGGGCCTTTCTGGGCTCGTGCAGGTTTGCGAGAGGCGGTGCTGCCGTTACTGCATTAGTTTTTTGGGAGCTCCGCAAGTTTCTTCTTTCCTTACTGACTTTGTTTTTCATAGATGGTCCCGTAGGCTCGTGAATCAAAGCACAGATCAAGCTAGTCTCATTTCATTAGCTTTATTTGGCTCTGGGAAGGGATGGATCATCTTTCTAAATCACATTTAATCTGCTTATTTTGGCTAACCTCTCTTCAAGAAGGAAATTGAAAGCCTACCATGAGTATATGAAATAAAATAATCTTAAAAGTCACATTTTGCCACATCTGTTTCAAAAAGAGATTTGGGAAATAAGACACGATGGATTTTGTGCTACATGATTGAATATTTTGGTCTTGTTCTCTTAGGTGCTAATGGACCATTGAGTCACATTTGGAGAGTAGGAGATTAGATATATTTTGGATGAGGGCCAACTATACTCTTGTTAGGTTTACTTGCTACCAATTATAACTTTACTTAACGTTTACATTAAAAACAAGCAAACACAAACTTGAAGAAGAGGGGAGAAAGCAATGGAAAAATCACGCTCTTTGTAACTCTTGAATTAGACCAATATGATTATGTTTAAATTTAAATCGTGATTCACTTTGGGCATGTTTCAAAGAACAGCATTTGTTTCAAAGCAATCCCTTTTCCCTCCCCCAACCTATATTGATTTAAATGGAGAATTAAAAATCAGGCGCAATGTTTAAACTGCCAGTTTCAGTTGTTACTCAGGCAATAAGGAACGTATAAAAGTGCAAAGGGATTCTGTATCTCTTTTAACATACCGTGGTTCAGTTATTGAGGAGCATTATTTTCTACATAAGCATTACCAATTATGATGTTTGCCAAAAGCTTTTTTTTTTTTTTTTCCCCTCTTATAGGAAAATAGTTTCAGAATATGAGAAGACGATTGCTCAGATGATAGGTAGGTGTTTCTACTCTGAAAGATGCTATCCTCCACTCTGATTTTCTGAAGAGAGCCTAGAAACACGGTTGAAGTCTGTGGGCTTCATTTTGATGCTACTTAACGTCTGCTGATGCTGCTGGGAATTGTGAATGCGTGAGGACACCCGTGTGTCACAGCTGCCAGGCTGTGATGAAAAGCTAGGGCTTCATCTGACAGAAAGCAGCCCCCGAGGCAGTACAGGTAATACAGGAAGGTCAGGGCTTTTTCGTCTGCAGCAAAGCAAACTGTCCCATAGGAAACATGTTCAAATGCTTTGCCCAGAATTGTGGATATCTCCGGGAGAGACTTTCAGTGACCTAAAAACCCTTTACTCATCCGCTCCCAACTGTTTAATGGGAGATACCAAACTTAGCTCTTTACAACAACGGATTATCTGTGCTAAGTGCATTGGTCAGACCAAAACCTAGATTAACTCCAATCCCATCTGAGAGATTATGAGTGGCCAATCCACCTCCCCAGTTATTTACTGACATAGGGGTCTCCTTTAAGGTCTAAATTACGGCATGTTTTGCCTCACGATAAATAGAAAACACCTTTGTTAACAGTATGCCCCACAAATGGAAAACACTATGCGCAGTAGCCTTTCAAAACCAAAGGTTGCAGATGTGCTTCCTTGGCACGGGAGGCCTGGCCCCGAGATGTGATTTTAAAGCCTCTTCATAAGATTTCCAAAGCTTTTTTTCTTAGTCTGGCTATAGGAAGCGCCAGCGGCTTGTGCTGCCCTGCGCTGCTTCAGCTCGAGCTGTCTCCCGGAAAGGCTGAGCGGGGTGCTGGGTTCCCTACGGCCAAAGTTGCTGGGAAGAGCAGGAAAAGCAGCAGCGGCTGATGAGAAAGCAGGACCAAGCTCGAGCAAAGCAGCAGGGAACTGTAAAATAATTGTTAAAAGCCATGAGGAGTGGCCTCGGAGTTAAATCTGGGCTGTGAGATGAGGAGAAAGGCTAGCCTAGCTAATGATATCTGCGAGCAGGGAGTGTTACAAGTCCAGCCTGTTTGCACTGTGTTTATTGAAAAATAAAGAAATTATTTCTCTTACTCCTCCTGAGAGAACTGTCACAGAGAGCACAGTGTGCCAGGAACACAACAGCCATAATACCTGCAGCTTTCTAACTGGTTTTTAACAGGGAAGGATTTTTATTACAGCTATCAACAAATCATATTGGTTTGCCCCTTTTAAAATTGGCAGTCCCCTCACATACAGTCAGTATTGTGACCCCCAACTTTTTGCTTGTTTGTTTGTTTTTTTTTTAATTGTTTCTTTTTAATTAATAACCTGAGTTGTGTTTACATACGGTTGTAGCGAATTTGCTTTCTTTTTTGCCCAGAGAGAGTGGGGGGAAGTAGTTCAATGTCTGGTGCTTTTGCTGCCTTCCTGCACTTCTCAGCCGTTGGAGACATCCCAGCCTCCTGTCAAGTGCAGGGAAAAAATAGGCCTATAAATAAATAAACAAATAAATGTTATTATAATAATAAATAAAATATATATTAATGACTAATATATAATAACAATATGCCTAGCTTCATTCTCTATGGTGTTATGCCTCCGTTGCCTTTTGTATGTACAGCTGAGCAAATGTGCCTGCCTTCTGACATAATGTCTGTCATTCTCATCACGCAAGTGTTAAAATCGGAGTGCCCAGAGTGTGCAAAGCACTTAATGCTTGTTTGTTTGTTTTTTTTTTAATTGTTTCTTTTTAATTAATAACCTGAGTTGTGTTTACATACGGTTGTAGCGAATTTGCTTTCTTTTTTGCCCAGAGAGAGTGGGGGGAAGTAGTTCAATGTCTGGTGCTTTTGCTGCCTTCCTGCACTTCTCAGCCGTTGGAGACATCCCAGCCTCCTGTCAAGTGCAGGGAAAAAATAGGCCTATAAATAAATAAACAAATAAATGTTATTATAATAATAAATAAAATATATATTAATGAC